TAAGTCTGTTAAAAGACTATAGTAAGATCTGGAAAAGTCATGCTAAGCTGAGGCTTGTTCACAACAAGTAAAAATCCAAAACCCTGATGCTGCAAGCTATCTATTGTTTCTGAAGAAACCATGAGATATCCCATCAGTATATCTGCTATCCATAGGAATTTCAAGCTGGCTCTCAAGTGTCTGGGTACTCCCTAACCTTATGTGTTTCCTGATTATCAATCAGTTTCTAGAGATGTTCCAAACCAGATAACCCCTTGTCAAGAGAAAATACAATGATTTACACTATTGAGAATGTTTTGAAGAAGCTGAACTGAGGGTATAAAAATCTATAAAAAAGCAGCATATGTGTGCTTCAAGCAGAAAAAATCTCTTTGATACCACCCGCTGTTCTTCTCAAGAGGCTGGAGGAAACATATCGTCTCCCTTCAAGGACTGTGCTATGAACTTTACCTGTCAGCTTTGCAACCCGAGTACCTTGGACTGGTGAGATCCCAGCGTGCTCTCTCTCTTTTCTCTCTAAGCATACATTTCTGAACCTGAACTGTACTAGTTAAGCTTGAGCTAAGTTTCCCCAAATACTTAGTGAAACCAGGGTAGTATTGTAGTTGTTTGTGTTTGTTTTTCCTTTGCATGTCTATTACTACTAGTACCATTTCATACACTTAGCAATAAATAATTTTTATAGTCAAACTGGTAGTAACTGGGTACATTTTTCCTTCTCTGCTTCTCCTTCCTCACTTGCTCTGCAGCAATGCTTCTTTTACCTGAGCTAAAGATCCCTGTGAAGCCCAAAAATACTGTGGGGTCTGCTCATCAAGGGGCTAATGATTGGGACGTGCTGAGCTTGAAACACATAAGGGGATCAGCTTGTACAGGTTGATCAACCCAGTTTGACTCAGATGTGCCCTAATGAACTGACTGCTGGCCCAAGAGGGTGTCAGCTGGACACCCAGATGGATTCAGAGGTATTCTGTTCACCTGTGTGCTTGTGTCTGACTGCAGTTTATTGTTGCTCTGATGAACTGATTCTTGGCATATAAGGGCATCAGCCTGTCCATGCTGATCAACCCGGCTGGGTCAGGCATGTCACTTTAATCTGTGTGTGTTTGTGTGTATGATTGATTTGGTGACTGGAGGAATCCAGCCCCACTGAAACTGAGTCCTATAAGATAGCTCCATTGGGAGTGAGGACTTGCAGAAGGGAGAGATACAGGTCCGTTTAGAAACACAAATAACACAAGCAGCACATTGATAGAATTACCAGGACCCTAGAAACGTGTCCCTAATAAATGAGCACACCCCAAAGTAATGGGCAAATCTGGTAACACTTCCCCCTAAAGCCCTGACTCATGAAGCTGTATGGAGGGAACATCACTGACTCCCAGAAGCTGTTTTTTAACCACCATCTGAGCAGTTGTAGGATGGCTGTGGAATGTGAGTAGCATATAGGCTCACCACCCTTCAATGCAAACATGACAGGTGGACAGAACCAGAAGCCCCGCCCCTTCTGCCCTGCTCCTCTCCCTTATATGGTGAGTGGCATCACAAGCCCCACCCCATCCGCCCCGCCCCTTTCCCTTATATAGCATGTGGTGTCACCAACCCCACCCCCTGACTTCAGTCATGTGGTGCATGACATCACCAACCCCGCCCCCTGTGCCCAGTCACATGGTGTGTGACACCAGCAACTTCAACCCCACCCCCAGTCACATGGCATATGACATCAGTAATCCCACCCTTGCCCTCCAGTCACATGGTGTGTGACACCACCACCACATGGACCATGACATCAGAAGGACAGCCCATGTAGCCCCTCAAATCCCCCCCCTCATGCTGCAAGATCCGCCCTAGACCAGATGGTATAGTTATGACCTACCAGGCCCCAGACTGCTCTACCCCCCAGGCACAGGTGTGGCCTATGGGGTGGCAGTGGGGTGGTGTGACCCCTCTAACAACCCTCCCCACCACCTCTGACCAATTGGTGGGGGTTTCAGAGGCCTCGGACCTCACCAAGAATGATGTCAACCAACTGGAGTGAGTAGAGGGGTGGGGCTTAGGCTGCAAGACCAGCAGGTCTATCTGCTTTCCCAAGTGACCCCTTTGTTTGTCTGAGACCGTGCTAAGGCAAGCAGGGACGGATATGGATTCTTTCACGATGCCTGTAGGCCCCCTCACCACAACCCCAAGATGGCTGTATAGAATGCACTACTGTAGAAATGGTTTTGAGGAGGAGGTCAGGCCCAAAGACTTTTTGAGACGCCTGACTCTGTTCAGGAAGACCCAAT